ACACACACACACACATACACACACACACAAACTAACAAACAAAGAAACAGCAAATCAAAGAATGAAAAAAAATGAGCTTTCACATGAGCAGGACAGCACACACTTTATACTTTATCTAAAACAAAAGCAAAGATGGAGAACAAGCATTTAGGAAAAGTTCAAAGACAGTTAAGCCAGCTACAGACAGTGTAGACTTGATCAAATAATGGGGATTTCAAAAGCAACATTTGCAATAAAATATGAAATACTAAAACCTTACACCAATCCCAGCTCAAAATCAGCTGTGATGTCACAGAGGTCAGAGAGAACAATATCACAATATGTGGTGTAAATTTGTCCATTTAAAAAAAGGCATGAAAACATGCAAACAAAATTCACAAAAATTCTAAATAACTGTTGAGTATAACCCCCCAAAAAAGGATGAACATGATGAAAGGTGATACTCAAATATTAGATGGAACCTTTAGTTTTTAAAACAATAGCAATTTGATTTTCAAATTCAAATATTTCATCTAAAAACAGAACAATACAGTAAGTAATTCCTTTCTTTAGATTTTCCTCAATCAACCTTGCTAATGCACCATTTAATTCACAACAATAACAGACAATAACATTATTTTTTGTTGGCTAACACCTTCAGCAACATGTTTTTGTAAATGACAAATACAATCTTTATTCATCTCACAGGGAGAAATTTGCCTTGGTCATTTACAATGGCTGAGGAATGTTACAAAGGTAAGGTGCACTCATGCGTACGCCCAACAAGACAGGGCATTAGTAAATACATGTTTTACAAGCTGTCTGCCTGTCTGTCTGTCTGTCTGTCTGTCTGTCTGTCTGTCTGTCTGTCTGTCTCTCTCATTTCTAGCACTATGTGTTCAGTAACTTCACTGCAGTTGGTAAGAATTAATTTCTATATCTGTCTGTTCTTGTTTTTTTGGAAATATATCGTTTACTGCAGGCCAATAATTGAAATTCCGATGTCAGTGGCATTATTCCCCCTCAAGCCTTGATGAAAATTATCATAATTTGTTAAGTACAACACTACTCAAAAATATTAAAATTTACCTTTTTCTGGAAGGCAAGACCATGTTCATACATCTTCAAAAATATATACTGGGTCCACTTATAATATGATGGGTCACATGTTGCGATTTCCTGAGGGAATAATAAAAAGGTCACCAGAAAAATAAAGGCAATAGACTTGTGAGGCTGTCAAACATTGATATAAGCCTATTTATTTCTTTATTAGAAGTGTAATCTAATCCTGGACTTCGCAAAAAATCGTCAAGTACCTAATAGTTTTCTCAGTTGTAAATTATCTCATTGTGATAAATTATGTCCCTCCACTTTCAGAGGCATTTGTCAATCAAATAAATCATATGTAATGTTAAGATCCATATTATATCACAGGTCTCCTGTTTTCAAGCATGCTATTTTTATGTCTATTTTAAATAACTATAAAGAAAATATATTCTTAATGTACAAAACAACTGGCAGAGTTGGTATTAAGCTGAACCATGGTGCATTTGACCAAGTTCTGAATCTCCCAACAGTTCTTTTTTTTAAAATTGGGACTGTCATAGGTTTTGCATGTTTCTCCACCTACTTGGAGCAGTCCAATAGTTATCTTGAATGAGTACTAAATCAAAGATCCAGGCTCCAGAAGATATCATCCCACACCAAACTAAGATCAAGGAAAAATCTTAAATGTACTTACCCTACTCCAGTCAAAGCTGAAACCCATACTGTGAAGCTGCTCTTTCATCTTTGCTATATTACTGATGAATGTAAAATTTTAAAAAGCTCTTTGAGTAGAAGAACAGCAAAAAAATTCAGAAGAATTTTATAATTGTGTAAATCTAACAACAACACATTTTTGCCATGAATGTGAAGAAAACAACTTTGAACGTAATCAGCAGTTAAGACATTCATAATACAAGTAGAACTAAATAAACTTTACAAGCTAAAATCATCAGCAGCAGAAAGCAGTCACATCTGATAAATATATGCAGACAGGTACATCTCTAATATCTTTCTTGTGAGAATTAAAATACATTGACCTTTTCCCAGTTCAACATTATGGAAAGTGGTGAGTGTATAGTGACTTGTGAAATTCATGTAATGGTAAAAAAATGGGTAGCTGCACAGCTGTCTCAGTGGACGCTCCTTGGGACAGTTACATTTTGTGGGGTTTTGAAGAAAAAATTAACATGACAAAGAGAGTATCAAAGACTTCTTTTAACACCAGCAGTGTTGAAAATGAGACTGAGAATTTAGTAGAATGCATGCATTACCATGAAAAGAAAAAGAAGGGCAGGGAGAAAACAAACAAAAAGATTGAAATAAAAGTAAAGCTGGATTTTAACCAAAGTCACTGCTTCCAAATTCATTTGCAACAATTAAAAAGATGGATTCTCGTCGGTGTGCCAATTTTCATACAGACCTTTTAAATCTGCAAACAGTACAAAATCAGATGAAAAGCATCGATAGACTAAAATGATTAAACTTTCTCTACAAAAGCTGTCTTTATAGTTAAAACACATGCTGCATAAAAACAAAATTACGTTCATCCTTAATTGTTTGGGGTTCTGGCAGCACCTGTTGTTCAGCTCACAAAAATCTTTGTTGCATTACCACAGCAAAGTGTTAAAATACAAATACAGTCAAACCTGTGTAAGACGGCCACCCATTGTCAAGGAGAAAAGTGGCCTTATAAGACAGGTGGCCGTCTTAGGCAGGACTGATCAAGATGAAGAAAACAAACCATTTCCATCTGAAGTCCCAATCGAAAGTAGCTGCATTGTTGTTGTTTTTGTTGTTGGTGGTATATAAAAAAAACGAAAGGGGGGAAATAGAAAGTGGCCGTTTGTACAGGTGGCCATCTTATAGAGGTGGCCGTCAGAGCAGTTTCAACTGTAGAAGATGTTTTTATTCTAAATTAAAGATTACCAAATTAAATAAACATACCTATAGGTCCACTCTTTGGGGTGTATATTTCTTTCTATGGCGGCATTCTCAGCAGGTAGACCAAAGGCATCCCAACCCATTGGGTGAATTACCTGGAATATAATAGAACAGCATCGTCACTCCTACCTAGTCAAAGTAAATAATTGTAACGGTAGTAAATATTTTATTCTCCAATTACCACATTTTAGATCATTCAGGAGGGAGGTTGTTCAAACAGCAGACAGATGGAGAAACTCAATAGCATTTTCATAACTTCCCCAAGTGAGACTTGAACTAATGTCTTTCATGAGCAACAGGGAAGACCCTAACTTTTCAACACACTTATATGCTGGTACTTTTAAAGTACCGTAATAAAATTGGAACAGATTCTCATTTCAGTACCCCTACACACAAATGTGCTCTTCGGCAAGTCAAGTTTCCTGACATCATTACCGTGACATCTTAATACCTTCATTCATTTTTATTTTAAAATCTCTCTTTAGCCATGCTATTGACTGTGTGCGTGTGTGTGTGTGTGTGTGAATACCTTCATTCATTTTTATTTTAAAATCTCTCTTTAGCCATGCTATTGACTGTGTGCGTGTGTGTGTGTGTGTGTGTGTGGGGGGG